AGTCGATCTCTTTTGTAGCTTATCTTTATAGCGTTGTTTATTAATTTGAAATCAATATTAGTTTGTTTATATGTATTTGGTTATGCTAAGCGCAAAATAATTTCCAATTAATCTTATTTAATTTAATATTTTTTAAATTAGTCGATTGCGTGGGAAAATTTTTCGCGCGTCCTTAGCGTTGCCAGATTAGAAAGTGAGAAGCTTTGTTTACAAATCGAGCAAACTAAATAGTGACCTTACACATATTTATGTAAATTTGTGCAAATTAAAATTAAATAAAAAAGAAAGCGAGTTTATAAAAACATGGTAAAAATGAGTATGAGGTGTGGTTCAGCGATTCGTCAGAGGATAAGAGCTTAGTAAACTGGCAGGAATGGAAAATGTTTAATGTAGAGAAAATTGTCTACAGATTTATTAAAAACAGCCGACAGTCTAAAGAGGCGTTTGTCAGCCAAATCTAATTAAAATATTTTAAAATTGTCAACAGCTCTCAGAGATCATGCCAACTGAGTATTGGGATTTTCTTTCACAAGTAAAACCAGCCTTTCGAGCTTGTGTTTAGTATTCACGACGTTAGAACTGCATAAAATTAATAAGAATCGTTTAACATTAGTGTCCACCCGCAAAAAGTAAGAAAACGAATGCAAAATCATAAATTTTTCACAATTTTCCAAAACTTCGCTACACCATCGAAAGCAAAATTCTGTTCGATAGAAAATTCGATACTCAACGAAAATTTACCTGTGTCACTTTGTGAAATTGGAAAAGTTAACTACGGCATTAATTGTAGTGTTTTTGTTGTAAATTTGTTGTGGAAAAAAAATTTTAGCTCTCATTTTTTTTTAAATATGGTACGTAGTGCTAACTTGACACCATGCACCATTGAGGACAGAATTTCGATATTGAAAAGGTTACAGCGGAATTAATTGTAGCTTTTTTGTTGTAAATTTATTGTGAAAATAAAAAATTTGTAGATCTCGTTTTTTAAGAAAAAATGGTATGTAGTGCTAACTTGACACCATGCACCATTGAGGACAGAATTTCGATATTGAAAAGGTTACAGCGGAATTAATTGTAGCTTTTTTGTTGTAAATTTATTGTGAAAATAAAAAATTTGTAGATCTCGTTTTTTAAGAAAAAATGGTATGTAGTGCTAACTTGACACCATACACCTAGTCGATAGAATTGAGATATTGAAAATGTTATAACGGCATTAATTGTAGCTTTTAGCTTTAAAATTTGTTGTGGAAAGAAAAAATTTGTAGCTCTCGTTTTTTAAGAAAAAATGGTATGTAGTGCTAACTTGACACCATACACCTATTCGATAGAATTGAGATATTCAAAATGTCATAACGGCATTAATTGTAGCTTTTTTTGTTGTAAATTTGTTGTGGAACGAAAAAATTTTTAGCTCTCGTTTTTTAAGAAAAAGTGGTATGTAGTGCTAACTTGACACCATACACCTAGTCGATAGAATTGAGATATTGAAAATGTTATAACGGCATTAATTGTAGCTTTTAGCTTTAAAATTTGTTGTGGAAAGAAAAAATTTGTAGCTCTCGTTTTTTAAGAAAAAATGGTATGTAGTGCTAACTTGACACCATACACCTAGTCGATAGAATTGAGATATTGAAAATGTTATAACGGCATTAATTGTAGCTTTTAGCTTTAAAATTTGTTGTGGAAAGAAAAAATTTGTAGCTCTCGTTTTTTAAGAAAAAATGGTATGTAGTGCTAACTTGACACCATACACCTAGTCGATAGAATTGAGATATCCAATATGTTACTATGCCATTAATTGTAGCTTTTAACTTTAAAATTTGTTGTGAAAAGAAAAAATTTGTAGCTTTCGTTTTTCTGGAAAAAATTGAGTTGACCCTTTTTCAAACAAAATTTAGTATGTAGTGCTAACTTGACACCATGCACCATTGACGACAGAATTAAGATGTTGAAAAGGTTACAACGGAATTAATTGTAGCTTTTTTGTTGTAAATTTGTTGTGAAAAGAAAAAATTTGTAGCTCTCGTTTTTTAAGAAAAAATCGAATGTAATTCATAATAAGGACCAATGTATACCTTTGGGGTGGAATTGTAAAACAAACAGTACATAATTTCCATATTTCCATAAATAAATAAGATACGTCAGGGTATACTTCCAAGTAGATAATTTCAGGAGTTAAAAGCCCTCCCGAAAGGCCTTCCTGGGAGTCAAGAGGCCTTCCACTCTACATTCCTTTCTCCTTTCTTTTCGTATGGAGTGGCACAAATTGAAGGGCTTCTTCTTTCGCTATACATGGAAGGCCTTCCAGAATGGTTTTAATAGGACGTTCTTCTAAAGGCCTTTTGGAGTAGTTATTTTAAAGTTGCTTCTTTAATTTATAAAAATCGTACATGTTTGAAGTATTTATGGGAAAATTTTAGTGAAAATCGACACGAAAAAAAATTGGGGGTCTAGGGGTGTATTTTAATTCTAAAAGTGAAGACCCCAACCCGCGCACTCTTATAGTTTTCAAATAATTTGTTGTTAAAGAAGCGAAATTCACCAAATACGTTGATGCAGATTGCATCCGTTTTATCATCCAAAAGTGCATGAAATAGTGACTTAATTGTAAACTCTTTTAATGCACATGAGCATTTCCTTTTAAGTAATATATTTTTTCTTAATTTAACCGCGATAAAACATGTATAAATGTAGTAAAAATGCGAGGTAGCTACTGAACACCGAAGTTGATGCTGCCAGACTATTTTAATAATGTCAAAAGTAATTTTCCAGACTTTTTGCCTACACATTTTGGGTTTTATGAAATATTGGCTTTTATTACAAAAAACAGCGCCGCAGGGGAAAATTTGGAATAAAAAATCGCGCGAAAGTGATAGCTGCAATTTTAAATAAAAATTTGCTAGTGGAAGTGCAAACAATTAAAACAGCAAATTACTTAAATACTAGTATTAAAAAAGAGAAAATAGTGAGAACTTATGTTAACATATCTGTTTCTTAGCATCCTCGAAAAGTTTCATGAGAAAATTTGTTAGTTTTGCTAAAACACACACATGTCGATGCACACTAAGATCAACCCGTATTTATATCAAATATGTGTTACTGCAAGTTGAAATGTTTATTGAGATTCATTTGTAATACTAAATAATATAAATTTATGAATTCAAGTAAATTGTAAATGGATTCTTGGGTAAACTTCTTAGGGCCGGTTACTCAATGTCTGGTTAACACTAATCTGCGGTTAAACATCGTTATCGACGTTACCGACTCCCTGTTATATGCATGGAGTCGAAGACGTCGATAACGATGTTTAACCGCAGATTAGTGTTAACCAGGCATTGAGTAACCGGCCCTTAGAATGGCTTTACTTAAGAAAGCCTACCTCAATAATTTCTGGGTTATTTTAGACGCTCACCGTATGTATGTAGTTAAAACATTAGTCCTGTTCGCGTACGCACTATGCAGTAAATCTAGTACTAATTTTACTGGTTTTTTACTGGATGTCGTTTTCGTACGCAAAAACTTGCAAGAAATTAGCAAAAGTGGAAATTGAGAGAGCAAAAATTACAGCTGAACTTGCAAGTTTTACTGGATAAATTTTTACTAGCAACTATTTGCTAGTAAGAAAAACAGCTGATGGCATGATGCTTAATGTAATTCACATTACCAAAATAATTGTATGTTGTGCTTTTAGAGTTGCAATTGACAAAATAAACCTATTTAAATATATTAGCCCTGTTCGCGTATGCACTATGCAGTAAATCCAGTACTAATTTTACTGGTTTTTTACTGGATGTCGTTTTCGTACGCAAAAACTTGCAAGAAATTAGCAAAAGTGGGAAAATTGAGAGCAAAAATGACAGCTGAACTTGCAAGTTTTACTGGATTTTTACTGGATAAATTTTTACTAGCAACTATTTGCTAGTAAGAAAAACAGATGGGCATGATGCTTAATGTAATTCACATTACCAAAATAATTGTTTGTGGTGCTTTTAGAGTTGCAATTGACAAAATAAACCTATTTAAATATATAATAAGATGGAAAATACTAGTTTTCTAAGAAAATTTCATCGAAAAATACCAAATTAATCAGCTGTTCATAAACCTAGCAACTTCTTGCTTGTTTTGCGTTTTCGTACTATCTTGCATATTTCACTCATTGGGAGTAAATATTGGCTTACTCTCCGAAATTTGGTTACTGGCAAGTTACTGGATATTTTTTGCTGGATAATACGAAAACACAACTTTTGATACAAGGCAACATTAGCTGCATTTTCGTATTCTCCAGCAAAAAATATCCAGTAACTTGCCAGTAACCAAATTTCGGAGAGTAAGCCAATATTTACTCCTAATGAACGAAATATGCAAGAAAGTACGAAAACGCATAACCAGCAAGAAGTTGCTAGTTTTATGAACAGCTGATTAATTTGTTACTTTCCGATGCAATTTTCTTAGAAAACTAGTATTTTCCACCTTATTATATATTTAAATAGGTTTATTTTGTCAATTGCAACTCTAAAAGCACCACAAACAATTATTTTGTTAATGTGAATTACATTAAGCATCATGCCCATCTGTTTTTCTTACTAGCAAATAGTTGCTAGTAAAAATTTATCCAGTAAAAATCCAGTAAAACTTGCAAGTTCAGCTGTCATTTTTGCTCTCTCAATTTCCACTTTTGCTAATTTCTTGCGTACGAAAACGACATGCAGTAAAAAACCAGTAAAATTAGTACTGGATTTACTAGATAGTGCGTACGCGAACAGGGCTATTGTATGACCGAAAGTTTGGCTAACTTCGTAAGTGTATCAATGCATCAGCCTTTTTTATTTCTAAATTATGTATAACTGACGCAAATGTCTAAATCGCGCAACCACCTTCAAAAGCCGAATTGGAACTTAGTTGCGCTCATTTTGCTTTTCCATCAAATAAATACGAAATAAGAGGCTGTTGCTTTGCATTGATGCATTTACGAAGTCAGCCTCAGATAAATTGGTACTTACATGATATAGGAAGAAGCAACGCAAAACTTGATAATAAAATAGCATTTAACCAATACAGAAGAAGGTAGCCACATAACAGGACGCTCGCCAAAAAGTACCATTTTTGCTGCGGATTCTCCTCTGTAGCAGTGGACCAGCTGACAATAAATTTAAATTTTAAGTCAGTCCTCTTCAAAAAGAACCGCACCACCACAGCAATTATCATTGCTTCTACAATCAGACCCCAAATTATTTTTATTGGATTTACTATTATCATTACGCCATAAATTCCCAGAAACAAAAGAAAATAGTTGGTTTGATAATATAGCAAATTTTTTACTACACGATTGCCCCATTTCTCCAAATCTTTTATATTTGGTAACTGAAATCGAGCAGAACCCAATACAAAGTCATCCAAACTTCGTAATGGAGGAAGCTCCAAATTCTGAGTGGACAAAGCGTCACTGATGCCGGCACTGGAAGACATTACTAATAAAGGCCGTAGTAAATGACGAAGAGTTATAGGTCTCTAACGTAAGCAGATATTCTAACAATCTTTTCACCCTACTCGAATTTATAAATTTATATTAATTCGCCCCGATTTTTTCCTTGCAAAACTGCTTGTATCAATCACAATGACGCACCGTCAGTGTTGCCTATTGATAGAACTAGAAGTGCAAAACTATCGATGGTACTATCGATGGTTTTAAAAAACTATCGGTAGTTACTTTACATAAGCTGCATTTTTTGTAAACTAGCGACAAAAGAACGCTCAAAGCTTATGCATATAATCTGGCACACATATGCGCATAATAATTTTACCCTTACTAGTAATGCGGATAAACGAGTCGCAAGATCGTGGGTTCGATTCCCATGGCCAGTAGAATTTTCATTTATTTGGTTTTCATTCTTTTTTTATAAGTTTATAAGTTCTATATTTATTAAACACGACCGATTTTTTTATGAAAAAAAAGAAGTAAATACTTGTTGATATAATTAATTTAGTTAAAGTGTATATGCATTGTTCAACTTTGCGTTCAACATTAGCGTTCAACTCAGCGCAGGGTTGCACGAAAAAAAAGTTGAATGGCTAAAAATATCAAAATATGAAAAAATATCAAAATATTCGCCATAAAAAGGCGTTTGCATTGTTCAACTTTTCATTCAACTTTTGGTTGAACGGCCTTTAAACTAATCGCTTTCAACAAAGTTGGTCGCCAGCCAACATTTAGGGCCGGTTGTTCAATGTCCGATTAGCACAAATCAGAGGTAGAAGCTCCGGTTAGACACGACTGCTTTATCGATCACATGTTATATGCATGCTGTCGAAATCGTCGATAATGATGTTTAACCGGCAAGTGATAACCAGACATTGAACAACCGGCCCTTAGCCATTCAACTTTTTTTCGTGCAACCCTGCGTTGAGTTGAACGCAAATGTTGAACGCAAATGTTGGACGCAAAGTTGAACAATGCATACACTGCTTTAATTCCAATAATTTGAGCTTAACTCGGCTGAAAAAAATTGTATTCGGAATCGGAATACAATTGCAACCAGAGTCGATTTAAGAAACCCGACAGCTAGTACGATAAAGAAATTGATATGTATGTTAAAGAAAGTCAGAACAACAAGAAATATACATGCATATCCTGTTTTTGTCCATCTGACAGATTTTTATAAATTCTATAAAAATTTATTATGTTTGAAGTGCAACCGTGGACACCAGCTAACAAGGAAACTTGCAAATTTGCTTTCGTGCAGAAATTTGCAAGTCTCTCAACATGATAGAGATTTTGAGAGAATTTTTTCTTAGTCTCTGATATTTTGAGTGTTGGATAATTCTTGCTGGATTTTCGACGGACAAACCTAATATTGTATCACTAGTTACTGGAAAATTAGGTGATAACCATATTTGTATTTTAGTGGATTTTAATCTTAGCAACCTTAATTGGGCGCAAAGTTACTGTAATTCTGGTCTTACACCTACTAATCTCGCAACTATTTCTGAATTATATTTTATTGATAATATTTTAAGCCTGAACTTGCTGCAAATTAACACATTTAAAAGCAAGCTCGATAGATTGTTGGATCTGATCTTTGTTAGTGACAATATAAATTTTAATCTGTCTAAATGTTGCTCTTCAGTCGCGTCCTCGGATATGCATCATGTTCTTAATGTAAAATTTTATGAGTCACCTCTGGAACTTTAGTTGATAAAATTGCCTTCAACTTTAAACGGTGTGAATTTGCAAGCCTGGACAGTTTATTTGCCGAGTTTAGTTGGGAAGAGCAGCTCTGGGGCATTGATGTCGCCGAGTGCTATGATGCTTTCAGGTCAGTGGTGTATAATACGTGCTTACTCAATACTCCTACTATTAAAAGTAAGCCCTATAAACTCCACTGGTATACTAAAGGGGTAAAAAAAGTTAAAAACCTTAAGGCTGGTTTTCATTAGGTCAAAATCACTGACATCAAAAACTGCCTGCATCCGACGGCTGTTCATTTGATGTTAAATGCGTTTTTTTTACATTTTAAAAACAGATCAAATGTCGATACCGCAGTGCATGTCAAAGACTGTCGTCAAATTTCGGTGTCAGACGATTGACATTCGTTTTCATTAGGTTAAGTTAAATTTTTCAATATTTTTAAATATCAATATCTTATGAACTACATAACCGATTAAACAACAAATGATGTCAAAATAAAGATGATTAGTTTGTCTTTCAGTTGATGTACATAATTTTTCTGATTTTTAATATTTTTGAGTCAGAAATACAAAAAAACAAAAAAATTTAATTTTTTCATTAAATTACCTTTTTTGAAGAAAATTGCATAACTAATGCTACAGAAATTTATATTATTTAGAAAGTACAAGTTATTACCTTATATAGAAAGGGTTATAGGGCAAAATTTAACGAAAGTAGTGGAAAAAATCGAAATAGTATATATATTTTCTTTAAATACCGTTTACCAAAAATTTGTTTTAAAAAATGGTTATAGTAACTACGTCGTAAAAAGCTAAAAATTATCTTTGAATTGGATTCAATACTTTTCTAATCGGTCAAGTCGTTTCCGAGACATTTAACATATAAGAAATAGGATAGCTGAAGTTTAACCTGTTATATTTTCTTTGTTTTTTACTTGCCCCAAATAATTTGGGTTTGGTTGAAATCAGCGTGAAAAGTTCTATCGATCTGCATTTTTGGTTATTTTTTTTAGCTAAACGGTCCGTATTGTAGCTAGAATCAGCTGTTCGCATGGCAAACGAAATCAAAATTGCCAACATGTTGGCAAATACATTTTGGTTGTCAAATGATGCCACATCAGCGGCGAGGGCCGTTTTCATTTGGATGTCATTTTATATGACCGTGCGTGGTGATATATGACAACAAACGCAAATGACACCAGATGACCACCCGTTTTCATTATTTTGACAACATTTGGCGTCATCCATCTGGCGTCAGCATCCATCAGCTGTCGTCGCGTGCGGATGTGTTTCGATTTTCGCTCTAATTTATTATAGTTTTTCTGCTGTCATAAGTGCATAACATGCATATATTTAGAAATGAGGCTAGACTTTTAAATTACTTGAGCAGTGATGAACACAATTTATAACTATTGAGATAGTGACTCTATTTGGAAGTTTTGATTTATTTTAATAATTGTATCAAAATGCCGTGCCTTTGTGGCCTTAAAGTGGAAAGATCGCAGCCAAAAGTACAAAAAGTACAATGCGCAAAGAGCAATGAACTTTATCACATAAAATGTGTAAACATTATGCCGGCCGATGTGGAGTTTTTGCTCTCGTCGAATAAATCGTATTTATGCAATGACTGCTCTACTGATCGGCGAAACTCTCTTCGTTCTCCACCGCCCTCTATTGTTCTGGAGAATAGTGAGAATAGTGTTATTGCTGTCTGCCCTAGTAGTTTAACTACATGGAATGACCAAATCGACGATCAAAGTAGCTGTTTGAGTAGCTTGTCACAGCAAACAACCTTTGGCTCTCCATCCCAGCTAACCACAAATGAAGGTGTGCATATGCATAGTGCTAATATAAATGGGCAGCTAATGTTGCAATCAGTGTTGGGTGAAATTGCAGCTCTTAGAGCAGAAAATAGCCGTATTGTTGCTATGGTTAGTGAGTTACGTGAAGACAATAAACAACTCATAACTAAAACAATGTCAATGCAAGCTGATCTTCACCTGTTGCAGTCTAATCTTCGCCAATATGACATGGTTTCTGCTGTCACTACTCTCACTGCTGAAATTAAAGCCATGCGTGAAAATGCTTGTAACTGTGTGCATAACAAAAAGGCAGGTAGCAAACCTAAGTCTTCGGTTATCGCTAATTCTGTCATTAATGCTGCTTAGCCGTCCGCTGTGCTAGTCAGCGTCAACTCCTCTCGTAAATTGGTTGATATTAACACTCCGTCTTCTCGTTCATCGGCTGACTCGAACGCTGCCTACGTCTCGTTCGCTGCTGCTGCTGCTGCTGCTGCGAACAACACAGCGAGTGTTTTTCCACAATCTGATTCTCAGCCTCCTTCACAGTGGTCTATTTTTAAAAATAAAAAGCCAAAAAAACATAATAAGGCATCGGGTGTGGTCTTAGGTGTTAACAGTAGCACGGAACTGGATGTAGTGACCATGAACCAATGGATTCACCTTTCCTCTTTTAAACCAACGGTTTCCGAGGATGATATAATTTCATATGTTGCTAAAAACTCTACTATCGACAAATCTCTTATTTCTTGCTTTAAATTTATTAAGAAAAATGCAGATATTAACTCATTTAAGAGAATTAATTTTAAGCTTGGGGTTGCGCCATCTCTTATTGACCAGGTCTTGAATCCTGCGCTGTGGCCTGCGAATGTGAAGATTCGACCGTTTCAGAATTTTCAAAAGGGCGATCCTCTCAAAAACAAAATGTAGCGTTATCCAAAAAATTTACTTTATTCAATGACTTAAAAATTCACTTTCAGAACATGGGTGGCATTCGCACCAAGTCTGAAAGCATACGTACACAGAGTGCCCATTTGGACTTTGACATCATAATTTTTGTTGAGACATGGTTAAACTCTAATTTTTACGATGAAGAATTTTTCGATTCAAATCATTATAACGTCTTTCGTAAAGATCGCGATGCTAGTAGAACGGGGTGTTCATTGGGTGGAGGTGTTCTTATTGCCGTCCAGCGTTCGTTATATGCATTTCAAATAGAACTCTCTAATGAGGAACCTATTCTCGAGCAACTGTGTGTTTGTGTTAAAAGTTCTTCTGGTTTTGGCGATTTTTATCTAGTAGCCTCTTACGTTCCGCCAAGAAGCAGTTTTAAAATCTATAAAGCTCACACGGACAATATTGTCTCCCTTGCTCAAAATATAGTTAATGATAATCATCTCTGCGTGTTTGGCGATTTTAATCTTCCGAACATTATATGGTCGAAACATTTTTCCAACTTTGGGCTAAAACCAACCAATATTACAACTTGCCTTGAATCATATTTTATTGATAATCTCTTAAGTTTAGATTTAGTTCAAATTAATTATTTTAAAAACAAATTTAATAGAATTCTTGATCTCATTTTCGTTTCTGGCAACTTTGATTCTACTATATCTCAATGTCTTTTTCCGTT